TTTTTTCCCCTAATGCGCAAATACGTTTATGAATCCAGAAATATTTACAACGGCCTTTTCCAAAATGATTACATGAATGTAAACAGTTTCTATTGGAAATTTAACAATGAGTATAATTTGAAAAACAAAAATAAAATAACAACGACAACAAAAAAAAACCCTTTATTTTAAAAACACAAAGTTTATTATTACGTTTGATTCAGATTTCTAGCCTACTTCAGGTGTGTTGTCAATTGCTTGAAAACATTACAGATATGCATATTTGACATTTTCAAAACTTTAAATATTTCACTCTTAAAACATCACACTTGCCAAATGCTTTCCTGATAACTGTCCTACTGGACTCTTGTAGGAAAGATAGCTTGAACAAGTGTTATGATTCTTATTTTATGGGAGAGAACACTGAGGCTTAGCAGTTTGTTTAAGAGCAAATGGCTATTCAGTGGTGAAACTGGGATGGATACGTGTTTGATTGCAGAAACAGGACAATTAACGTTTATAATAAAATTTTAATTTTAATTAATTTTAGATTTACAGAGACGTTTTATGGTTAGTATGGAAAGCTGTTGTATATTGCAATAGGGGAAAAGAGACTCCAGATTTAAGCAGGTTCAATAGAGACACATTTATTGAGCCTTGGACAGGACTAAGACAGTCATCCAAGATGAGGGAAACCATCAGCATGCATATGTCACAGAAACTGAATGGAGTCCCCTGAGTCATTGCCATGGGCCTAATTATATATTATTGAAAACAAAGAGAATCATCACAAATCATCATTGGTGGAACATCGATTCATGACTGTTGCAGGCAGCACTACCGAAGCAAGGAAAGGACCATAATTGCAATACATACATCATTGAAGATTGAAAAGGGTTACAGGATTAGTTCCAGGCCTTCTTGGCTGTGTGGTGGTCCAGATCTGACTTATGACCTTGTGGCCTGAGACATGCCCAAAAGTTAGCTACAAAACAATACAAGGAAGCCAAACTTAATTTAAATAAGAAAAAGACATACTCAGGCAAGTTCCCTAATTCTTTGTGTGAACATAATCTACTTTCAGCCACACTCTTCCTGAGTGCATACAGTCTGTCCCTCCCTAGATTTGTCCAGGAACTTGTATATGCATAACCACAATGTTGGTTTGAAGGTCATAAAAACTCAAC